CCTCTCTCTCTCTCTCTCTCTCTCTCTCTCTCTCTCTCTTCCTTTTCTCTCTCTCTCATTCTTCTTTGTCTCCCTCCTCTCTCTGCCTTGCTCGTCTCTTTTTCGTTTCTCTATCTTTTCTTTATCTCTCTCTCTCACATTCTTCTCTCACACTCTATACCAGTTCTCACCAACAGAGATGGGAACTTAAACAAATCTCCAAATGTTACACCACACAAAGTTCTTCCAAGCCACCTGGAAAGTCTGGATGCTCCTACCTGGGATATACTCCCGCACTGCTATGGACACCGTTGTAGACAGGGGTGTATTCAGCATCTGTACTGTAGCCAAGCAGGTTAAATTTGTATCTGCTTCTGGGACGATGATGAAGGTGCTCACTGCACTTACTAAGTCATCAGTTCCTGTAGTGTAGTCAGTAGTGTAATATATACTACTTGCCGCTGTGTTGTTTATTTTCCAGGTGATGGTAGGAGTAGGGTACCATCCTGAGGCCTGGCAGGAGATGTATACTGTGGAGTTGGGGGTCACGGTGATGGAGCTGCCGTTAGATACCTGGACCGATCCCATTACTGTTGGAGAAAAACAAATTATAAGAACCACGGCCAGAGGTAGTTGTTGCACAAATCATTTGCTTAATATGTTAGCATTACAGTCAGGTAACATACATTTTCAGGAGGAGACTGACAATAACAGGATCTAAAGTTCTAACAACATATTTACATTAGAATAAGGACTCCAACTTGTTAAAAAAAACTCAAATGTCAGGGCCTTTTTATAAAAACTGGAAAAAATAAACTTCTCCACAAGTTTTCTGTTGGGGTACCAAGGAGACCAACAAACCCAGAGGATTTCTCATGATTGGAGAGGCTTTTGGCAGTGCAAACAGCAGGAAAGGCGAGTGTCTACTGTCTTCTTTTATGGTTATGTTTTGATTCAGGGATGTTTTAGACAAGGGAAAGGAGTTGCTTGAACATAGCCTAACACATCCTTAGCATTTGAGTGTACAAATATAGTGTATTGATATATTAATTATGATCTAGATCCCTAGTGCCCATTCTGCAGCCATGGGGGCTGCATTGGGCCCTTCTGACCTATGGCTGGGTTCTCAACACTTCTGCAGAGAGTATTTTGTTTCAGGTAGACCAGTGAAGGAGAAATATTCTTTAAACTGGGTTTTAGTAGTTAAATGGTTTGGTTTATTTCTTTCACACAATTTTACTCCATCCCTTTGCTCTTTGTATGTCTCTCTTTCCTCTGATCTTTTATATAGGATTGTGCTGTGGCACAAGTCATTTTTAAGTGGGCTGTAGGGAGCACAAATAAGATAACATGGATTTGTAAAGGGGCTGCAATAGCAGTGATCTCTAGTAGTCTAATGTAATGTATATTCAGTCTATGACTGTCTCCTAAACATGTGCACAATATCCAATCATTCATATAGCATGCCTACAGTCTGCTGTGTATTGCCTTCAGTCTCTTAAAGCTTTCTGTAGCATTACATCCACTGAATATTATGTGCAGCCTTTAGGTAATCTCAGCGGCTGCACTTGAGGTCCCATTATCAAGGAAGTTGACTACCACTGATCTAGATCATTTCAGACTGAGGCTCTGAGCAGAGCTTTGGTTGGTGAGCCCAAATATGTGAGCTTGTCCTATCTGAAAGAACAGCGAGGATGGTGTTTTGTTTTCAATGTGTTTTTTATCATATTGGGAAGTAGATTATTATGTGCCACTTGTGCATGTGGTTTGTTAAAAAAACTGACAATAAAGACGTTTTTTATTTGATGTTTATTTGGTGCAGTCTGTTGCAGTGATGTGCCATGCCTTCTGTGCTGGGTGAGGCATCCCCCAGCCAGCCGAATTCCCACCCCTGTCTAGCTGAAACTCTGCCCCGTCCCGCCGAAGCCTGCCCCCAGCTCGGTAACCAAGCTGTGTGGGTATGAGGAAGGAAGGAGACAGGGAGGAGCCTCCCTGTCCCTCACTTGCTCGTCTCTGCTGAGGCATTTTGTTCCTTTTTATTGATTGGACAGCTTGGACCAATGGCGCTTTGCCATTGGTCCAAGCCATCCACAGAGCTCACGCCTCTAACACAGAGTAGAGGCTGTGGCAGCTCTTGCCTCACCAAGTTAGGTTACACAAGCAGTGGGGAAGCCTGCTGCTGTGTAACCTACCTGTCAAAAGCCGGATGCAGCGCTGCCTGTAATTAACAGGCAGCGCTCCATCCATGACAGGTTACACAGCGATTTCCCTGCTGTGTAATCAATGGAGAAAAAGCTGTCAGCTTCAGACTTGAAGCCAGGGGCGGACGGTGCCGGGGGGCAGGGTGGCAATTGCCCCCCGGGCCTCTCCGATGCTGTGACAAACGGCCCCTTGACCCCCGCTGCCACCTGCACCCGGCC